AGTCAGTCCGAAGGCAAGAACCGTGGCGGCAAGACGCCAAAGAACCAGGAACTTGGCCCGTACAAGTTCACCCATCAGCAGTTGGAGAAGGAGGGTGTCATCCGACGCAGCAATGTGCCAGAAAACCGACGAGCGAACATTTACTTCATGTTCAAGAGTCCCTTGCCAGGGACCTTCGTCATTAGTCTGCACTATAAGGGTGAGTCCTTGGATTTAATCTTCGAGGAAAACGGAACATCATTGCTAACGCATTATTTAGGACGAGCCCGTGGATTACTGGAACTTGATCTCAAGCTGGACGATCTCCTGGAGATGCAGAAGGATAACCTTGAGGACCTCGATTTGGAGTATGTCCAATTCAACGTCACCAAGGTGCTTACACTCTTAAACAAACGATTTGCACGAAAGAAGGGCTGGTAAGGGCGCTATACACCCCAGGCTCCCCAGAGTCCCCCTTTGATGAATGATGAGCTCGAGCGGAGGTCGGACAGCTCCCCCTATTTGGTCTTCCATATTTACTTCGCCTGCTCAGCCACCTGATGACCGACCGTGCCCTAGGCGCTTAATCTTGCGATGAAGATGGACAAATATGTCATGCCTCTCCATCCCAAATAATAGATCGGATGACTGCTCTATGCACCGACTGAAATCTGCCCATCTATGCAGTTCGGGCGAATGCCCTTTGTGCGTGTCGCCGACACGCATATACTCTTAATGGAGAATGATCAAGGCCCTCTCCCCGCTGGTACGGGGGATGTCGATGATCCTGTGATTTGTGTCCTTTCCCCTATCTTTTCCTATTATGCTTGCCATTCCTATGTCTCTCATCCTTTCAATGTCTATACCCAGCGCATAGTTGTTACCATTTGTTTTTTTCCCGGTTTCATTGGGGGCCCGAGCCCTATAATCCCCCGGCATGTCCTTCTGTTTTGTGTTTCAATCACCGCCCAGGCCTGTCCGGTCTCATGCGCTGTGTATAATAATGCCTATTTGTGATGCTGTTTGTTGAATTGTTTTCAATTGAATACCCGTATGTTATGTTGTGAATGGTTTATTTCCCCACAGAATGCCTAGGCAGATTACAATTCATTTCGGGACTGGCTACTGTGATATATCTGTCTTCTTTCGTAAGGTCTAATATGTCAAATGCTGGTGTCCACTGATAGTTATAGAGTGGATTGATTCGTCACTCGACACCTCGACACCGCCACGTCTGCCCCTCGCCTGCTTGCCCCCTTTTTCTCGAGTGGAATCTTCTTTTCAAGTATGCGAGCTGTCTGAATATCAAATTTAATAAAAGAATAGTACAAATTTGGAGTCGGGAACAGACAGGAAGTGCTATATATTCTATATATGCTAGGAAGTACATACAATAGTCGATCCTTTATACCCAAATGACAACCCAATAACTCAACTAGTAGTCGACTTGCAAAATGACGATAGTATTGGCCCCTGTAAATCCCTGGGAACTTCTTTGGCAAGGTGGTTTTATTGTTGTTCAATAATTAGAAATAACATTGGTCCCTAGGGATCCCCCAGGCTTTTTTTTATCATAAAAGTGGCCACTTACGCTAATCCCCTCCCTCCGCCTCCCGCTCTTTTTCCAGAACAACAACCCTCCTCTTCCCTTCGACCATATACCTCCCATCAATCACAATGGCGGCCACAGAATCCCAGTTGCCTACGGATCCTAAGTACGACCACTACGACTTCCCCACCACCGCTCCGGAAACGCAGCCTGGTCACCCCGGCCACACCTCCCCCGAGCAGGATGCAAAGGTGCAACAGCTCCGCGCTGAGCTCGAAAAGCTCGGCTACACCGAACGCTTGGATACGCTGACCCTCCTGCGATTCCTGCGTGCCCGCAAGTTTGATGTCGAGGCCGCCAAAAACATGTACGTTCCTTGATTCTCAAAGGGCATGGATGTTTGTTTTTTGGAGTAGTTGGCAGAAAGCTTTCTATTCCGGAATTTCTTAGCTTTCGGCTTTTTGTCGAGGCCTAATTGTCTAACTTGATATCTCAGGTTCACTGCAAGCGAGAAGTGGCGCAAGGAGTTCGGCACCGATGATCTGGCTCGCGACTTCAACTACACCGAGAAGGAGGAGGTCTTCAAGTTCTACCCTCAATACTACCACAAGACGGACAAGGTTGGTTTTCTGTAGCTTATACGTATTCAGATGCAATACTGACATAGTCCCAAACAGGATGGCCGCCCCGTCTACATCGAGAAGCTGGGCAAGATCGACCTGAACCAGATGTACAAGATCACCACCGCCGACCGCATGCTGCAGAACCTGGTGTGTGAATACGAGAAGCTGGCCGACCCGCGTCTGCCCGCTTGCTCACGCAAGGCCGGCAAGCTGCTCGAGACCTGCTGCACCGTCATGGACCTGAAGGGCGTGGGCATCACCAGTGTGCCGTCCGTCTACGGGTACGTCAAGCAGGCCTCAGACATCTCGCAGAACCACTACCCCGAGCGTCTGGGCAAGCTTTACCTGATCAACGCGCCGTGGGGCTTCAGCAGCGTTTTCAGCGCCGTCAAGGGCTTCCTTGACCCCGTTACCGTTAGCAAGATCCACGTCCTCGGCAGCGGATACCAGAAGGAGCTTCTGTCCCAGGTGCCCCCTGAGAACTTGCCCGTTGAGTTCGGCGGCACTTGCAAGTGTGAGGGTGGCTGTGAGCTCTCCGATATGGGCCCCTGGAAGGAGCCTGAGTGGGCTCGTACCCCCAAGTGGGCCCTGCCTAAGGAGGAGCCCCCTCACGCTGGTGAGCTTCTTATTGAGGACGACCCTGCACTTGCGAAGAAGGATGTCGAGGGCCAGGAGGCTGCTCAGACTAGCGCCTAAGCTTGCTGAGCACGTTTCCTTGTCTTCTTCGTTGGAGATCCAACAAGCCGATTGACAATCTCCTTTTATATGGCGACTGAAAACAGACACCCAGATGGGGATGCTGGAGGTTTATTTTCAACTCCGATCAACCTGAAAATCTCAAAAAAAAAAATTATCTGGCGGTTCGACAACCCCCAATACAACCCCAATTCCACAAGGCAAACCGGAATTTCTCTCTTCTGGTAGTTTCAACACCTCTTTCCCGATCCATCCACAGCATGTGGACCCTTACCCTACATTCGCTTTTTGCGTGTGCTTTTTTTGTTCCGATCTAGATATCATGGAGAGCTTGCTTTTGTTTTTGCTTTTGCCTATCAAGATAAGCAGCGTGTGGCTGCCACTGCTCTCAGTATAGAAGGGACAGGACGCGATGAAATTTAAAAGCGAGTTGGTGTGAAGATGGTGTTTATCTTGGTTGTTTCTTTGTTGGTAGTGTATACACGAATGAGCACATATTGAAATGGTAGCTGTCATGTGTAGGACACTATTTGGTTTTTGTTATGCTTATGCTTATGATATACGATGTAGTAGCAGTAGCAGTAGCAGTAGCAGTAGGAGAAGTAGAAAACCAACAATATTTGCCTTTGGTATAGAGATCGTAGACAGAGTTTAGTCTGAACATGAAAGACGATATGTAGGATTTTGACTCAATGGAGCCATCAAGAAGAAAAGACATGGTATCATGATCCCTAGGACAAGCCCAGGCCCCCCAAACGCCCCCAACAAATTGCAAGCGTAAAAAGAAAAAAACGAAGAAGAGAACGCTAATCAACCAACCCCAAAGTCCTCAAGGCAATCACTTATTCATATTCTCCACAACGTCAGCAGCACGGCCAGCTCTCTCAGCCTTGCCCACCGTCGTTGCCAACGCATTACCCTCCACACCGGCCTCCGTATCAGCATTGCCCTCGCCCTGCAAGCGGAGCAACATCCGCAGAGCATCCTCATAGACACTCGCAATATCCCCACTCTTCCACCGCTCCTGCTCCGCCTCCGTCCCGAGCGCAGCCTGCAACGTCCACGCCGGGTCGTACTTTGCACGGGCCTGGGCCCCTGTCCTCACCGACCCAGTGCCGTTCGGGATAGAATCAATATCCATACCATCCGGCTCTTGGCCGGGTATTGTGTTCTCGTTTTCATTATTCGATTGGGGCTGCAGATTCGTAGATTCGCCCATTTCCGTATCGTTATCGGCATCTTTCCCCCCATTTCCAATCTTGTCTTCGTTTTCATATTCCTCTTCCTCCTCTTCAATCATCTTCTTCAAATGCGCGGCATATTGTTTCGCCGCACGTCTCGGCGCATCCCGCCTCTGCTGCGCGACTGTCGTGTTTAGAGATTCCAGCTGCGCGTACAGCGATGTCACACGCGACGCAAGTTCTGTATCGTATGCTTCGTACTCGATTTGTTCAGTCGGCGCGGTGAATGCTGCCGGGAAAGGGAACTGTGGTGAGGTGGAGTCTATGCCGTTGATGCTGATTGAGGTTGAGGCTGATTCGAAGGTTTGGTTTATGTACTATTTGAAGTTAGAGTCTAGAGATACGTGGATTTACATGTTGTTCTGGTCTCACTTCGTCGATTAGCTCCCGGACGCGTTCGCGCATCGGATCTGGGGTGTCATTATCCGTTGCAGAAGGGGGGAAGTAGAGGTCGAGTTTGCGGCGCGATAGGGCGACTGTATTGGCGTAGAGGTAGGTGAAGTCTGCTGGAGATTGAAGCTCGACTTTTCGATAGTGTGGTGCTGCCATGGTGGGCTCTTGTGGTTGTTGATGTTTTTCTCTGTTCCGATTTGTAGGAGAAATGGCCTTGGCATTCCAAGGTTCATCCCCGCAAACGATGTCATCGATGTTGCATCAACTTACTCTCCAAGGTTGACTTTTTTTGCTCTATTGTTTCTTGTTTTCTGCTATTTATTTCTTTCGTTAAGATAATTTACAGATAATCTACACTTCTTCCTCCTCATCTTATATCCTTCCTTCTACTCTGATACGACCCCTTGAGATAATGCAAGTGCAGCATACTCAGTGATATTCTACACTACAGGGCTCGAGGAGCCATTGGGACACATCACCACTATCCTAGACATTCCTTTACATACCCTCACACCGAATATGGAGAGGTCGACTTCCATTTCCCTCGTGGATAACACCGTCCCACAGCAACCCACCGGTGAAGGACCTCCACCGGGCACATCAACTCATCACCACAAAAGCCTGACGAAGCACTTGAGCCGTGCATCCGTCCACAGCCAGCTCGCAAAACGGAAATATGCAAAATGGCAACCGGATAGACTTGGCATTAAGCCCGACACGAACGACTCGCTTAGCCGAGAATCGTCCCAGGTGCGCGGAGACTCGATATCAGCAAGCTCCACCGGAGAAGCCAGCGGGACCGGAGATATTGAGACAGCTGACATTGCCCCGTCGCGAGTCTCGACTAATAATGGGAGCGGCAACGGCAGTGGCCAGGCGACCGGAATAGGAGACCAATCCAACGGCCATGAGGACACCAAATCCCGCTCAGAGATGGACGTTCTCTACGAGAACCAGCGGGGCTGGTTCGCTTTTGGTATCCCACATTACTCGCACAGCTCACTGTTGAACTTTGATCCCAGCCCCTGGATGACTCGGGACCGCAGAGTCAGTCCTGTTAATATCACAAATGCCCAGCTGCCTGATCCGAGCTGGGAGTGGACGTGGAAGACATGGTATGTCGACATGTCTGGTGATACCGATGAGCAAGGGTGGCAGTACTCTTTTTCGTTTGCCTCGTCTTCGTGGCATGGCACGCAGCTGTGGTTCCATTCGTTTGTTCGAAGGAGACGGTGGGTGAGACTACGGACTAAGGCCCATCCACGGCGAAATCGTGATCGCTCGGACTTCGAGAAAGCCCACATGCTTAATGAGGACTATTTTACCATTCATTCGTCCAAGGCCAGAAGTCGGGAGCAAAGCACCGCAGGACTGTCCCGGGTGGACACTGGATTCTTGACTCATGCTAGCGCGACGGTCGATGAGGAGTCAGATGTCGATGAGATTGCGGATATACCTAGTTTGATGCATGCTTTGAAATTAGCCTCCATTGATCGAGAGAGGATTGATGCACTGAAGAAATTTATTGAAGTTGGAGGCGACGAGCTCTATTATCTGAACGACAAGGTGAGCTGGGTGATTTCCTCTAATCTATATGTTGAGACCGGGCTAACTCTATTTTGGCATATCAGATACCAGATATAATGTCCATGTTCTTATTCCAGACCTCACGCTGGCAATTTGTAACATATCTTTCTGATGTCATTCGCGGGCTCTCCAAAACTCCCACTGATTCTGATAAAGACGCCGATGCAGTCCAACGCAAGAAAGACAATCTCGCCCGTGCCGCAGAATCCTGCAAGCATCACATTACCGGGCCGGATTTCTTTAAAGATGATCATGGGGAGTCAGGAACGGAATTGTTAGACTTGACTCCGGTGGCCAGGCATGATACACTAATGGCTAAGCGACCGGTCTTGAAGGAGCGTGTGAGGTCGATGAAACGGATTTTCAAGGGCATTCCCAAGGCCGCTGAGATTGGCCATGAAGGACACATTTATTAATGTATTAAAAGCTCTCTGTATAGACCAAATAAATGTTGTTATTGGGAGAATCACATAGCGAAGTATAGCAGCTCACCCGGCAGAGCCAACCTCCGGCCACCGCCTACCCGTTCGGCGGCTAGCAATTTTCGGGGCAAAAAGGTCCATCGAAAAACACCTCAGCAACGCGCCCAATTCTACTCTCCTTTCCATTCATGTCTCCGGTGCCATTAGAGCATCGTCCCTTATGCTCTTGCGTGGCCGCCCGTGTCTAAGGAGGCGTCTTTCTGCCGTCTTGGACACTGTCGCGACTGGCCCGTATGAGCCTCTTCTGTTTCTATATCCTCGCTGGGCTGCGCCTGCTTTGCAACGCCGACAGATATCTTCCCTGAAGTCGATTGATACTCCAGCGAGGATAGGACATACTTCCAGTGGCCCAATTCGCGCAGCAGTCCGCCCTTCTCCTTCGCTTTCTCGGCACTCGCGCCAATGGATCTCCTCTGTGTCTTCCGCCCGGTCTCCCGACGAGTCAAATCTGCACCCGTCCCCTGCGGTGGTTGGAGAGAATTCTAATATACGCAAGGGCAAAGAAACTGGCTCCGATGATCTGAATGAAAGTGGTGGAGGTCGGCTCTCCGCAGGTCAGAAACAATCTGTCAATTCCCTTGCAGATGCCGAACACGCCACTTCTCGAGAACCGCTACGGGGCTTCGCGTTGACAAGAGCGAAGAGAATACAGCAAGGTCGACTGCATAACAAACCCCTGAACGCCAAACCTTCGTCTCCCACACAGAGACAGCTTTTTTTACGAAATACATCAATTCGAGATCGGAAGAAGTTGCGGTTTCGCGAATATATGAAGAAAAAATATCAATCTCGTTCAGCAAAACTCTTCGACAATGCTTGGTTTGATACAAAGGAGATTCTGGACCAAGTGTACCGCGATATCCGGAAAAATCCCCAGAAGAGTTTGAACAAGAAGGAGATACTTGTACCAGAGGAGACCCTTGCTCTGTTTTCTGGTGTAACCCGTTATACCCTGAAAGAGAATATTTGGTACATTCCGCTCCACAATGGATGTCGTGTGCACATCCTACCTGCAAGTCAGAGCAAGGGATTACTCCGTCGAGTAGTTTTGAGTGCCACCGACCATATCATGGCGCTGGTGGAAGGGCATTTTACCCGTGCACAGAGCTTACAAGCTATGGGAGATCCACTGGTTGATATTCACAAACCACCGGTTCCAATGTGCATTTCTCGGGGCGCGATGCAGCGTTCGAAGCTGCCTGTACCGTTGGTTCGTGGAAATTGGCATTTCGGTCAAACATCGGATAGCAGCTCGAATTTGGACGAGATCCTGCTACCTCGTCCGGTTATCGCCACCGTGAAGGAGTTTAACGAGCACATCGAGGATGTCACATCTGCGAGACAACCAACGCTCGATGAGAAGGCCATGTCTCTATCAAAGCTTCCGCACCTGGTCCGGGTTAAACGACATCTTGAGGCGCTATTCATGGAAGGAACATACTCCAATTATATCTCGACTGCGGCTTTAAATAATGCACTAGAATTCCTTTGTCGGCATGAGTTCCTTCAAACTGCCCGATCCTTGTTTTCATGCACAGAGCATGTGGCTACCACTGATACATATAACATCTTGTTGCGAGCTGCTGCGCGGCGTCAGGATGTGGCTGTCTTTCGTCACTTCCTACGAATGATGCCTCGATTACACATGCGCCCAAACTCAGAAACATGGCTCGCATTGCTCAGCGCCCTAGTTGACCCTAGCGAAAAAGCCCAACTCATTGAACATATGGTTCAGCGTGGCCACATGTCCAACCTTTCCACCATCCACAGCGCGCTCCAGGAGACAATCCAAGATTCGCTTCTAGTGCATTTGGACAGTGGGCAAGATATAGGCTCATTCATTGGCCTCATGACCAATACATGGGGTGCTAATTGGTTCAGCCCTTCCATTATTGGCCAGATGTTCAGTGTGCTCGCTCGATTGAAGAAGTTCGATTCCATAGACCGGCTCATGGAAATCTGCATCGACAACAAACTCACCGTTGACAGTTATCCACTCGGCCATATCGTGCAAGCGCTGGGCGCGAATATCCACGTCGCTTTGCAGTATACCCTGCGGTTCTTCGAGCACCCTTCGTTCGAGGTAACCTCACAAAATTGGGAGGATTTGTTTTTGGCTGCCTTCAGGCACCGCCAGTACAACATCTGTCTAGTTCTATGGCGATATTCTTGCATGAAAAGAACCGTGACCTACAAGATGAAACAGGCTGTCTTAACTTCCTTATGTCGCAATGCATCCTTTGGTAAACCCACGAGACTCAACAAAGATTTATGGAGTTCCGATGCCGGCAAGGTCATTATCGGTATCGACCAAAACCATGAAAGCTACAGGCTCCCAGACTCTATTCTTGACGATATACCTTCCGAGTTCCGTCACAATCCTATTCTCTACCTCATCGGATGGAAGCCCAGGGGTGAACAGCGTGATCTCCAAATTCGCCTTGCCAATGCCCTCATTAAGCGTGACATGATTCTTGGTGCAACTCGCTATGTCCCCCAGCATCCTTCCCCGATCATGCTGGATGCAGCGTCCATCTTAGATCAGGAATGGCGTGGTGTCCCGCGGCCTCTGACTTGGAAGATGCAAAACGCCATTCAAGTTCCCATCGTCCGCAAAGACAAAGACCGAGAGCAAGACAAAAACGAAGACCAATAATCTCCCAATCATCCTCCCCTTTGCATCCTCATTCTTCGATCCTTCTACCTTTTTTGACGCTAGCGTGTTGCATGAATATCCCTTCTGGCGGGCTTGTTTTGGCTGGTGTTTGTTTTCTGTACGCTAGTCTGCCTACTTTCCCGTCACCTTGTATCGTATACTTGTACATTATTTGGAAATATAGAATCATAGAGCTTCAATGTCCAGAATAACGCCATCTGAGTATATATTCATTCAATCGTGAGCGAGTACATTCCCTCTTTCAAATATAAAACCTCTCAAAATCTAAGCAATGCATCGAGATCATTCATAAAACTATTATAGGCAGAAATAGGGTCTTCAGGAACTCTCTCTTCCTCCGGTGAAGCAAGGCCCCCATTGAGAATTTCAGCTTCGCGAGCCAGCGCGTTCTCCCACCCAATCCTTGTCTCTGCAGGCATCGGAGACAGAGACCGAGACTGGGACCGAGAAGCAGGTATGCTGATCCCCTTCACCTCCACACAATCCGTATATAAAAGATCAGACTCAAAGCTCCCGGGAGAATCCAGCACTGACGAATACACATCCCGCCTTCTCTCATTTTGTGCAGTTTGGCAGTGTGTAATGCCTCCTCCAATTCCAGGCGAATGTGGGGAAGTGGAAGTAGAAGTAGAAGTAGAAGTAGAAGTGAGGGAAGGTAGTAGCCGGCGCATCTCGGAGTAGAACGAATACATCGAGCTCCAAGGGGGTATATCGTGATCGGTTTCTTCTGGCAGATAGCTGTTGAGCTGGAGTTGAGGTTCGTGTTTATTACAAGCTTTCTGGCTGTTGTGGTTGCGGTTGGACAATTGTTGCCGAGTAAGTCTTTCCAACAGTTTTGTAAGTCTTGCTAGTATCTATATTTTTCTTCCTTTTAACATACCTGTCAATTGAATCTCGCGGGATGCAGGCTTGACCTTCTTTGCGGCAGTGGGTGCACTGTTTATATGGTGGGGAGATGTCACATCGCTTTTTCCGGGTGTGGCAGGCCACGCAGGCTATCTTGCCAGGTCGACGACCTTGCTTATTTGCTTTTGTAATCCCCGATGGGCCTTGGAGTCGAATTGTGCTTAAATCCATTGGAGCTTGAATATGAGGATTCTAAAATATAGACGTAGGTGGGCTATATATGGAGAACGGGTGCTCCACACTTTTATGATGATCCAGACTTACCCCAAAAGCCGGCACAACCGTGTTGGACGTTCCAAATTGGGGAAATCCAGAATTGGGGAATGGCCAATTTGGGGAAATCGACCTCGGGAGAAATTGGGGAAATCTAGAATTGGGGAAATTTCCAATTGTGGCCCATATCGTGGCGATTGACTTCAAGAGTTCAATGTTACAGCAGCATTCCTAATATACAATTTCGTGTTATATCATTCCGTATGTGATTCTAATTTCTTCTCATGACTTATTATGTATGAGTCGTAAGGTCAATAACTACTACTCCGTACTTTGGACTATATCATTCTACGCTACCTTGCTGGATCCACATAGAATAGGAGTACAGACACATGTAAATGGCCAGAAAGATCGACACAGGTCTTAGATTGTTTGCACAATCGCATTTGAATCGCAGTTTTCAGCCACGGCGCCGGGAGTGCCCGTAAAGGATAGACAACCCTGGAGATCATGACTGATCTAAAACGGAATGCTACACCTGGGAATGTTCCTCGTATACCATGTATAGATTGAGTCTTGTTCATAACCCAAGAGCATACTGTTGGAACAGTATATTCCGGGCTCGGTGCATACTACCTACTCCGTAGACACGGCATGCCGAGAAGCGGTGCGGGGACATTGGCTTTTGCCTCCTTTCCGTTTTATCAACGTCATCTATGATCTTCTAATAATAAACTCATGATGATTGCATATTCTGCTACGTAGTGCAAATTACCCTAGAGCCACCTCTCCAATCTCACCGCATATGCTTCTCCAAGCACTTCAAGATTTGAAACATTTTTGTACCCAAAGCGACCTCGAAATGATTTCAGAGCACTTTGAATAGCTCTATCGGTGCTAGCTCACTTTCCTCTAACTCCAATATAGTGGATCTGTCAAGTGTGATGATTCAAGCTATCAAGCTAGGAAGAACCTGCTCCTCTATGGAGTGCCTTTATTTCCGGTGTATATATGTCAGACCATCAACACGTCTTTTGGACAACGGAATGGATATCAACCAGTCGGTGGGCCATGGATCCCCGAATTTTGGGTGAGTCGAGCTGTCATTGGTCCAAAGCTGCCTCCTTGTGACGTCCAATGGTTCAATACTAATCCCTTGTACCATGTCGAGATGATAATATGCTTCTTGATCACGGAGCCGATCCTAATCGTCGATGTAATATTGAATTCCACGCCACTCTCCTACGCTGTTGAACACGCTTCTTTGCCACTCGTGAGTCTGCTACTCAATCGTGGCGGCGACATTACAGAAGGGCAGGTTTTGCACCACGCAGTTTCTCGCAACTCCGATGCAGTGGAGCTCCCGAAGCTCCTATTACTCGATCAACGGTATCATGTATCAATGCCATCGGCCTTCTTGGGACATGAATTTCTTAGTGGGGGAAACTGTTCTGCACAAGGCAGTATTTCTTTGCAGATTCGATGTCATCCATTCCCTTCCTAGGGAGGGAGTGAACCCTAACTTCAAAGATGTCAGAAACTGAACCGTCATACAATGTGCTGATGAAAATATTTGGAAGAGGATCCCAGGATGGGCACAATACTAGTTGAGGCAAAGGTCGACATAGGGGACAGCATGGAAATACAAGTACATATGTAGGTATTGCATCCCTCTTACATGACATATCTTCAATCAAACCATATTAGCTATTCGGCACACTGTTTAGGCAATTTGTCTTTCTATACAATATAAGTTCCACAAGGACGCCAGCTCTCGTGAGTTATATATATTCTGGTCATTTCCCATTATCATGACATATCATGCCAGCACAGCTTGACAGAGCAACGAGTTAAGTTCAAAACGCTGCTTACAACCAAAAATCAAACCAATGACCCCATGTTTGCATGAGAATGCCCTTCACACCTATCAGGGAGACCGGGTACTGGTGGTGGAAGACCATAGGGATCAACAAGTGCCGTCCGAATCGCACCCACACCTTCTTTAAGGTAGAGCACAAGCCGGTAGGCCGAGTTGCCGTTCAAGTAATATCGGTGGAGCTGTTTGCTACGCAGGAAGCCCAGCCGCTCGTACAGTTTGATCGCACCAGTATTGGTGATTTCGGTTTCGAGGACGATCTGCCCAAACACATACAAGTCAGCCACAATACCCTCGAGACCACCCTATTTGCGGACCAATAGCCACCTCCACTGTGTAGACCTACCTCATCTGCATCCCGCTCGATCATAGCATCGATAGCCATGCGCACTAGCTTGGTTGCAATTCCCCGGCCACGGTACTCTTCGCGCACGGCCAGCATGGCGATATAACCTCTCAGCGGGCCGTCGCGGTGTGGCTCTAGCTTCGATACCACGACCCCGACCATCTCGTCCTTATCGTCCATCGCGAGGAAACACAGGTCACCCCATTGGTATAAGAAGTAGCGGTAGACGTAGATGCTGTAAGGTTCAGACAGATCTTTGGAGATCAGCTGGCGCATTGCGGCGACATACTCCTTTTCGCGCGAATTTTCATATCGCACGTAGCGAAGATCGGGAGCATTGCTCATCACAGCGATGTCATTGAAGTGGGCTGATGGTTGGAGTTGACGGAGGGGACGGGGGTGGGATGTGTCCGAGAGGAAAGTTACTCGCAGCCATGTGATGCCGATCCGCCCGTTCGCGGACTTATGCGCTTCCGTGTTTTTGTATCCCCTTCCTTTTCTTCCTGCTTTCTTTTTCTTCGAATTTGTTTGTCTTGTTCTTGATATTGATTTCCAAGGCAAATCGCACCCGGTCCTCTCCTTCTACTCCCTCCCTCGCGGTTGGTTGCTATGCTCCGTCGCCGCACGGGCAAGGACGGGGTCCCGCCCTCTAACAAAGATAGCGGTACAGAAACCAAGGAAGAACAGCTTCGTGCGGAGTCTGTTGATCCAAAAGCCACCCAGCTAGTTATCAAGCCCCGGAGTAAACGTCGCAATGGGTTCATCTTTATGTTGGGCGGGATCTTCGGCATCTTCATCGCCTTGTTTTTCGCAAACCAGCATGAGGTCATAAGCCTGGATTCGCTCATGGACCTAAATCTCGATTCATGGATTGATGCTATCCCACAGGGAATTGTGAGTGACGTGAAGGAATTCTCGGTACGTGCTTTTTTCAAGGGCTCTTACCTCTACATCTAGTTACCAGTTGACTGACTTCCAACCGGGTTATAGCAACATGAACGCGATACCGTCAGCTATGATTCGTTTGCCGTTGGGCTACAACTTCGCGCCATGGGCGTAGAAGCCAAACACCCTATCGTGATGATCCCTGGAGTTATCTCGACCGGCTTAGAGAGCTGGGGCACGGGGGAAACTTCGCGACAATACTTTCGCCGACGATTATGGGGCAGCTGGAGCATGATGAGAGCGTTAGTTATGGATAAAGCTGAGTGGAAGAATCATGTCATGCTCGATCGGGAAACAGGCCTTGACCCGCCTGGCATTAAGCTCCGTGCGGCGCAAGGATTCGATGCCACGGATTTCTTTATCACAGGGTATTGGATATGGAATAAAATCTTGGAGAACCTGGCTACCATTGGCTATGACCCGACTAATGCGTTTACGGCTGCATACGACTGGCGACTTTCATATCCCAACCTTGAAGTTCGTGATAAATATTTCACTCGACTCAAGTCCTACATCGAGACCGCAGTGCACATACAGGGCGAGAAGGTTACATTGGCATCGCACAGCATGGGATCACAGGTGGTGCTGTATTTCTTCAAGTGGGTAGAGAGCGAGGACCACGGAAAGGGCGGCAAAGACTGGGTTAACAAACATATTGACTCGTGGGTCAATATCAGTGGTTGCATGCTGGGTGCCGTCAAGGGATTGACTGCCGTTCTGTCCGGAGAAATGCGGGATACAGCGCAGTTGAACGCCTTTGCTGTGTATGGTTTGGAGAAGTTCCTATCGAAAGAGGAACGCGCGGAGATCTTTCGCGCGATGCCCGGTATCTCTAGCATGCTACCAAAAGGCGGCGAGGCTATATGGGGAAACTCAACTTGGGCACCGGATGACCAACCAGGCCAGCCCCTGAGCTTTGGCAACCTGATCCATTTCCAGGAGACCAACTCATCTGTGACAAAACGTAATCTCACCACGCCAGAGAGTCTTCAGTATCTCCTGGACCAGAGCGAGGATTGGTATCGGAACCAGGTTCTGGGTAGCTACTCGCACGGCGTGGCACATACAAAACGCGAGGTTGAAGCCAACGAGAAGGACCCGCGCACATGGCTCAACCCGCTAGAGTCGCGCCTGCCCCTCGCCCCAGACATGAAGATATACTGCTTTTATGGCGTGGGGAAACCCACGGAGCGCAGCTACTTCTACCAGGAAGAGACCGACCCACTGGTCAAACTCAAGGTCAGCATGGACACCACCATCACCAACAACGAGGGCATTGACCACGGTGTTTTAATGGGCGAGGGCGATGGCACTGTGAACCTGCTTAGCACGGGCTACATGTGCGCCAAAGGCTGGCGCATGAAGCGTTATAACCCAGCCGGCACAGAGATCAAGGTATTCGAGATGCCTCACGAGCCTGATCGCTTCTCGCCCCGCGGTGGTCCCAACACTGGTACGTAATTCTTTGCTTCCTTACCTACCTGACCTTTCCCCACGATATGTAACAGGCGACTAATTTCATATAGGGGACCACGTGGATATCCTAGGCCGTGCCTCACTCAACGACCTTCTTCTCCGTGTCGCTGGCGGCAAAGGCGATTTAATCGAAGAGACTTTCTTCTCCAAAATCCGCGAGTATGCGGATCGTGTACAAATCTTTGACGACGAATAGATCAAATGGGGTCCCTTACGACTGTTCTGAATATTTGACTCGCGTTTTGATACACTTGATACACCCACATATGTACCTCCTTTTAGACATTTGGGATTTTTTTTTTCTCTTCTAGACGG